GATGCTTACATCGGTTGAGTGAAGCGGAAGAAGTTTGTCCAGTCTTCGGATTGTGTGTTATACGTCGAATCTGGCAACAGTGACCAAAGATCTTGTTGTGGTACTGCATCTTGAGTGACAGATGGTTTTGTGTCGTCTTCAGGTGAAGAAGTAAACATATTAGTGAGTGGATTTGAGTTACCCAACATATCATAGTCAGTCAGTGTATTGATACCAGCCATATTGACATCATTATATCCCTTCGGCATTTGGCTTGTCGGAGGTTGTACAAACGTAGATTGTGGCATAACTTCAGATGATGTCGGTGCCGTAAAGTCAAAGTTCCCAGATGGAAATACCCCTTGATCAACTAAATTTGCCATTTCTGTGAGACTAGTCGTAGTATTTTCCGTAGTTGCTGTATCGTTCACCATATCAGGATAGAAAATATGCGTAGCCAAATCATTAGTTGACATTGGCAGATCTTCCAAATCCTGCGTATTTTTACGTGTATGACTTGGTTTCTTTGCTATCTTACGACGTTGCTGTGGTGGATTGAAAAGATTTTCGGTACTACCTCGTAAAAAGAGATTTGAGTCCATAGAAAGACTAGAAGAAGCTGAGAAGTTACTAGTTGCGGGGCTTGTAGCGTTTGGTGACTCCTCAGTTGGGATCTTTCCAATTCCATTAACAAGTTTGCGAAGTATGTCATGAGCTCTACCAGCGTGCAGATGCCTGGCCTCCAATTCCTTAACTACCTGCATTCCCATGTTGATTTCTACACAACATATTAGCAAATACTCCGTTAATTATATTATACATACCCTTCATTTCTGGAATTGGCGCCGATGGATCTGTACTATTTCTTCTGCCCTCACAGGCGCTTACGATCAGTATAACAGATGATGTGAAACTCTTGAATGACGTTAGAAGCAATACCCAATAGAATTCTTATCACGCACCCCTATACCAGTCCAACTATCCATGACCTTAGTCGTCTTATTTCTTTCTTGAAGGTGAGAAAGAACGTGAATGCACGATCTCGCTGCATTTGTGCAAATTGACAAACTCGGATAGCCAAGAGGAGATGGTCGTTTTGGGGTTGAGATGAATGGCCTGTGGATGTAAATCTATAATATTTTAGTGACATCATAACTGACTATTTGACCAAACGCACCTGTACTAAATAATAAGTAGTTTGAAGCATACACATAAATGTGAACTTCAAGTTGTCTTTGCAGTTTGGATCCCAAGCGAGCTCAGGTGGTATGGATTCAAGCCATTTATGTAGCTTTGAATCGAGTGCTGCGACATCCATTAATGTGCGCTTTGGCTCAGGTATGTTCGCATTATTTGGACGTTTACGCTTGTTGACAACGTACTTTTCTTATGTGAGTGGAATGTATAACGTAGAGAGTTACCCACGATTGTTCTCAGGACTTCGCCAAGAATGGCAACCAATTCTATCAGCTTATTGAATTGCGTTATAGTCATTTGCATTTCAGTCTCTACTTCATCCGGAAGCACAGAAGGCAATTCAACATCAAAGCTATAATGCTTCATTAGTATTATAGTCTCCAGTATAAAAAGAGGACATACTTCTCGTCATTCAAGGTACATGGTCGACCCAACATAGCTGACAAGTGTTTGTCCATCATATAAAAAGACCAAAACGCACGTTTGCGTAATTCATTTTGAATAGGATCGCCCCAAACTCTTTTCCTATGAAAACCAATATCCTGATTTCTCGCTGTCAGGAACAGCACATGTAGGCTATTGGAACTCACCTGTGCTAATACCAAGCCCATACTATTTAGAGCCCAACAAGCAGGACTAAATGGACCACCCTGAAGATATATAATCATCAGAATAATCGACTGCAGGTCTTCGAGTGTAGCAGCAGTAAGAATAAAGCTATGACAATGCATTTTGAATTTGGCGAAGAATTCTGCACCAGCGAAACGCCAATTCTTGACGTTACCGAACTCATCTTTGTCATCCTTTGGTACCACTCTAGGGTCATCGGAATATCTGGACGCTGTGGCACATAATAACAGAAGCAAACCGCCAAATCTGATGTCATCTTTTCTTTTGTGCAAATCCGCTTCGAAGGATGCTCTATGAAGCACTGGGAAGTAAACATTGAACTTCTCAAAGAAGATTTTCACTAAATGTTCCAAGAGGTCTGGAGGCGGGAGTTCTTCAGCGGTGTAGGAAACAGAAGGAAAGTCTTTTTTCTCTTCCATAATCCATTCACGGTCCATCCAAAATTCAGGTCTTCGGTCTTGCTCCATAACTTCTCGAGTAATAGGTGGTTCATCAGGAGGCTTATATTGATCTAAAGTAGCCATTAAGTAAACCGAACTTGACTTTCCTAGATAACGTGTGTTGTCTTCACATTGTGCAGATACACTGATCTGTTGCATACGTTCCTCGAGTTCATCGTCACTCTGATCATCAATCTCCTGGGTGGGGTGAAAAGCATTCTCTATCGTTGGTAACTCTTTCTTCTGCTTATTCCATCGAGAAGTATCGGCTTCGCAGCCAGTTTCAAAGTTATCCCTGTCTATTGGTGAACCAACTTGGCTGTTGTAGTCATAATCCGGCAGCATTTTCCTAAACAGCATTTCAAACCTTCGATTACGATTCTCTAATGACTCTATGTATCCTTTAGGTGGACCTTTACGCTTTGCAGCTTCTACGTCTAAGGTGGGGTTGAGTCATTACGTTAGCGGTGCTGTGTGATAAACATACAGGTACATGTAAAGTTGTTATTGTCGCAATTTGAACACTTTAAACCCTGCTCTGCTTTTGATGGTCCGTCACATTTTATCTTCTTACGTCTGCTTTTGTTAGTAACTCGTAGTTATCAGATCATTTCCACATACCGACAGATATCACACTATATTGTATATTATTAGTGAATATATAGATAATCAATTATGACACTCACAGCCCGAGTAATTTTACGCTTCTTTTCAGAATCTGACTCGACAACCATCTTGGTTGTTGCTTACCAAGATGAAATACAAAGTACCGGAGATAAGCAGAAATGGTTATGGTATATTAGATTTCAGTAGCAACGCAGAAGAGGTTAAATGGTAGTAGTCCTCTACCACCAATGATAGGTATGCGAATGTATCCCACTATGATGCAGCAGGTGATGATGAGTGGTAGACCTTTCATTACTACACGTGCAGGTCCTTACAACTCTAGCATACCCAACGTGATCCATCAAGTTCAAAGGATCCAACATTAGCAAAGAGAGTTACACAGAACTAATCGTGTTATTTTCTTTAAGTATCCATTTAATCTACATTATTTATGCAAACGATCAAAAATACAAATATAAGTGGTGATGCCAATGAGTGGTGAGTATGTGTACAACTTCTGATGCTTACATCGGTTGAGTGAAGCGGAAGAAGTTTGTCCAGTCTTCGGATTGTGTGTTATACGTCGAATCTGGCAACAGTGACCAAAGATCTTGTTGTGGTACTGCATCTTGAGTGACAGATGGTTTTGTGTCGTCTTCAGGTGAAGAAGTAAACATATTAGTGAGTGGATTTGAGTTACCCAACATATCATAGTCAGTCAGTGTATTGATACCAGCCATATTGACATCATTATATCCCTTCGGCATTTGGCTTGTCGGAGGTTGTACAAACGTAGATTGTGGCATAACTTCAGATGATGTCGGTGCCGTAAAGTCAAAGTTCCCAGATGGAAATACCCCTTGATCAACTAAATTTGCCATTTCTGTGAGACTAGTCGTAGTATTTTCCGTAGTTGCTGTATCGTTCACCATATCAGGATAGAAATATGCGTAGCCAAATCATTAGTTG